CGACGACCATTAATTATGGCTTATCGTTTCATATTCCATTAAACCGCCGATGGGGTTTAGTATAAAATGGGAGTTTTGTAGCTTTATGTGTAGTTTGGGGTCAAGAAGGAGAACTATTGTGAGAAAAGGCGACAGTGGACGCTGTAATGAGAGTTGACGGTGCTCTACATCGTAGCTAGTTTGGCACCAATCGGGGAGACGCTAGCCACTTCAAATATCGGTTTGGGCTACGCCATGTATTGTGAGTACACGTGATTTTTTTTTAAATGGTTGCATACCTTATTATCCAAAAGTGGTTTGAAGTTTCTCGAGATTTTTGATATGCTATATATGCGTGAAAAGTTCGATATTTTTGTAATATGTGTTTTGAGTATTTGTGTGTCAGTGGGAATGTACTATGGTATGATTTTGTAAAGATGAGCATGCTTTGTGAGCTTGTCTAAACCGTAAGTACGGACATGCTATGTGAGTTCGCCAGGTGATGCTGTGTGAGGTAGACATCTCCCATGACGCCGTTGCTTTGTGATGTAGACACGCACTATAAGACCTTTATTTTGTGAAAAATATTATTCTCATCAAGGCATGCTAAATTTATAAAGCTTCGTGAAAACTATTTACCGTAAAAGTTGTTGTTCATGCATGAAAACCGTTGATTCACTGGGCCTAAGGCTCACCCAAAACTCTTGTAACACTTTTTCACTCAGACGGCTATTAGACCGGAAAGAAAAGTTGGATAAAGAGAAATATAAGGATTAGCATCAAAGAAGGACATGTGCAGATCAGGGCGTTGTTATATAGAACAAAATTATGTTCCTCAAGATTGTAATTTTAGATGATGATATAAATTGTAAGATTAGAAATTTTATTTCCGCTACAATGTAAGTGTTTGATCTTGCGATACTAACTCTGTTATATTTAAGTATTCGAAATATTGGGATGTTACATTTATGTTGCCGATGCTCCATTGGTACTTCCATACACGTATCAAAACCCTTTTTAAAACACGGAGATATCCAATCTTCAAATATATTGATCTTATAATTTACAATGTATAAAAACCGACTACCTATAAGCCAAACCCGTAACAAGTCACTAGCTAACCTTTTTTTAACTATGTTGCTTTGGAACTATCTTACATACTTGTACATGATAAATAGTGGCCCTCCATGACCAACATGATGCAACCATGACTAAGCAAGGCCAACATGGATGCTACACCCCCTATGTCAAAATGGAACCAAGTATCACACGGTCCTGCACCACATTGCCTTGACTAAACACGAGTACATGACCATGTGGAACTTCCCACATGAACTGCACAACCATGGAGTTTCTCCATGTCGTACTTTGGGTTTTCTCAATCCAGTGTTCATCTCATATGCTTGTACGTGTTATTTCCACAATATACCAAAATCCAAATTACTCCAAAAATTTGTAAATTTTAGCGCTTGTATTATGCATACCAACGCCCCTTAAGCCTTGAATCACGAATACATAACATATAAAGTATCAATTTCATGATTTAACCTATTACAACACAAACAACAACCAAAACATAACACTTTTACTCATTTCTTACTTCCTATGCACCAATTTCATACAATAACCATACTGATCTCATATCAGATGAAAGTTTCGGCATGAGCTATTACCTCAATATAGTAGAAGTCGTTCAATTGTTGCACTAATTATGGCTTCAACTTTGCTCCAATTATCAGTTTTATCTTCCCTCATTTGCCTATAGTCTTTTATGTCCAACATGAAATGGCAACTACATTGTCTTCTCCTTTGATCTCGAGGAGACTTAAGTCATTGGTCAACCACTCCCATAGTCAATCTGATTCTTTGATTCATTTAGATGTAACGTCACATCTTCGATTTTAGTCCATACGTTTTTATTTGCTTCATATTTCACCAAACTTATAGTTTTAACCCCCCAAATCAAATTATTATTATTACAACCGACTCCAAGTTTAATATGTTAAAAATAGACGGTTAGTGCTTTAATAATATAGATAATTCAAATATTAAAATAGTTAATATTAGCATTTAAATAATTTAAAATTATCATGTTATTATTAGAGTATTGCTATTAAATTTTATTTTGATTAAAACTGATAAAAAAATTGAAATTAAATAAATTTTGTTGGTTTTAATTTATTGCCGATAATTTGTTTTTTTTTTTTTCAATAAAATATTTCAGATATTTATCAATAATTAAATATGTTTTTATCAAATTATATATTAATTTAATATTATCTTGTAGACGAACGGAAAAAAAAAATATCTAATATCCGCATATACAAGTAGCATATAAAATTAGAGTAAATTGCTATTTTAGTCCCTTTTATTTTTCTTGGTTTTGCGTCTCTGTAAAATTTATATTGTAAGAAAAACCCTTTTGGTATGTAAAATTGTTTGATTTGAGTCCTTCCCATTAACAATCGTTAGTTTTCATCCGTTATGTGAGAATCTTCTTGTCCTTTTTCTTCTTACTATCAATGTTTTAACCAATTATAAACAATAGATTATTATCCCTTTAAAAGAATTAATAAATTAGTCATAATGTATTATATATATACACACACTAAATAATTTTTGATGATCAACCATCATTAAAATACCACCACCATCCATGTTAAACCCCAAATCAACCACTACCCATCACTATCCATTACTCCAACACAAAAAATAAATTAATGTGCCATATACATATCAAACACATACAAAAAAATCGAGTGAAAGACATTTGTGGGGGGAGAAAGGAACCAAATCAAAAAATTATTTTACATATAAATCTTAGTTTATTATCGGCAGATCGTTATATAACTTGTCAAGAACCATATCAAGAATGATATCACTTTTTTGAAACCCATAAATCTAAAGAACAAGATCAAGAACCAGGTCTACAAAATCAAAATCATTTCGCTCCCGTCTTCTTCTCTCACAAATCTTTGACCTCATGTTGTCATCATCCTCTCTCCCAGATCTTCGACCTTCATCGTCTTCACTCTCAAACTCCATTTCAAATCTTGAAAGCCAAAATAGTTGGTGATCAAAAAGTACTGAAAGGAAGTAAATAGAGAGGGTGGGATTCTCTTTTGGTGTAATGAAAGTGAGAGAGTAAGGAGAGTAAGACATATGAGATGGTTTTGTGAGGGTGGAGAGAAGAAAATTAGGGGTTATGTATTTCTATTATAACGTGACAACTTTGCCCTTGTTATTAACGGAAGGGGCTAATAGAAATTAGTGGTAGGGACCTAAACCAAAAAATAACAAACTACAGGGACCGAAATTGCAATTTACTCTTATTTATTTATAAAAGTTATTATGGTCTCTATTAAGCAAAAGTTAAATTATTTATTTTTATATTTTCCTTTGAGCTTGGGGGTGGGGCAGGCTGTAATGTGAATTTCTTGCATAATGTGTGCGCCACCCTTCTGACTTCCCTGCCTCACGTGACACATCATGACACTTGGGGGACTTTTTCGTAATTTCATCTTACTCAAAACTCCCAACCCGCTATCTCTTTTCTTTTTATCATGTCTCCTCAATAACTTATTATATTCCAAAAACCAATTTAAAAAAAGTGTAAAAAAAAATCAGTTATTAATCTTAAATGTTTAAAAAACGGCGATCATAAACGTTACCCGTTTATTGTTATCGAAATCTAATAAAATATTATCGTTAAAAAGAATAGTTGTATAAAAAATATCCAACTTTATAAGAATTTTAAAACAAAATATAAGATAAAGCTATGTGATTTATTAAGATGCCGGTAGTTTGTTACATATGAAAGGATCTCATATAAAGCATTCACGAAGTTAAAGACTTGAGGTTTATAGAAATTAAAAAGATACTGTAACTGATAATTTTGACATATTTACATTGCATATTTTGTAGCTGTCGAGTTTATAATCATAAATTTGTTTTCTATACACAGAATTATTTATGATTACTAATAATTTCATACTCATGATAACCCGTTAGCTGCTAAAAGATCAAAGATTTATATTTGTTGACAAGTTGACTACTATTTTAAGAATTCATATGTATTTTATGTTACAACTATTTTTGATAAGTTTAACAAATACTTAGTATAGTTTATTTTTAAAATATAATTCGTATAATTATTGATTTGATTAAATAGATTTTGGAAAACAATTTAGTAATATTTTGAAAAAAATTGTATTTTACAGTTAATTATAATTTCAGTTTTGAAAAGGAAATGAAACAAAATTAATTTTAATTTTTATATGTTTTTCGTTCTAAATCCTTGAAGGAAAGAGGGTTGACGACTGGATTTATTAGCTCGGTCACTATATTCATCATTAATAATTTAACTGCTTCTACTTAGAGAATATATATGGTATGTTACTTTATTACATTATTTAACTGTAACTAAGAAATAATAATGTCTTTCATGTTTTATATGGAACAACATGATAGTTGGTATATAACGTACCAACTTAATATATAGGTGTTCATGAAGTTGTTACTACAGTTAGGGTATGGATTTTTTTGTCATTTATTTATCAACTCATGTTTAATATATACTAGATATGTCGATAGAAGTAAGATTTTATAAAGCATATCTAAATATCGACTGACATTACAAATAATAAAACTATTATTGTTATATAAAATATAGCAAAATATATGATCTAGAACCATTAAGAAACAATAAAAAAGCTTTAAAAACTGGTTTTTACCTTCTATATATATATGATCAACTAGTTTTCTTGAAACCTGTTCATGATTAGTTAGTAAATTTGTGGCCATTTCAACTAAAAGGAATGAAAAGTTAGAAAAAGCTCTAAACCCTAATTTGAATTTGTGCCACCCTCTTTTATCCTACCACCACCAGCTGTATATATAGCCAAAGATTGTGGTACACTGAGAAAAGCCTGCTGCCTTTTTGTTTTCTTTTACCTTCATCTATCCATCAATATTTCTGCCATTAACCTCTGTGATTTGAGGGGCTTCAAAGACCCCATTTGGTCTTGCAATCAAACAACTGAAGCCAAAGCTGATTTAGAGTTTTAAGCCACAAAAACTCACAAACACAGAGAAAGAAAAAGGAGGGTCTCTTTGTGGAGCCCCATTTCTCATTTTTCCCCCTTTGCATTTTGCAGTGCTTCTCTATCCATTTCTAGAGAGAGAAAGACACACCTACATATACATATAGAGAGAGAAACTGAAAGGGTGGGAGAGAAATATATATAATGCAGCAGCACCTGATGCAGATGCAGCCCATGATGGCAGCCTATTATCCCACCAACAACGTCACTACTGATCATATTCAACAGGTTTCCTTCCTCCCTGAGATGTTTTCACCTTTCACTTTCTCTTTCACACACTAGAATCCAGTTCTCTGTGTGTGTGTGTGTGTCTTGTTGTTGGGTGGATTTGTTCAACTTTATCGATCTTTTTATGTTGCTTTTTTTGGCTTTTGCCTGCCTTTTTCCTGCTTGTTTCTTCATCTGCAACAAGTTTCCCTGTATATATAGACCTGCTTATTATTACATGTATGTATAATTTATTGTTGTACTTTTTCGGTTCAATATATGCTCGCTACATACATAAACTATTGATCTTGCATGATGATTCTGTTCATCACTCGTGATAATAACTCCTGCGACAACACTTACTCTTTCTTTTTCCTTTAAAATGAAACTTTATTTCTATGGATTGTTGTTTTTACAACGTTTTCTTGATCTTCTATAGACGTTTTTATCCTTTGCTAGTGGGAAACTAAAGCAGGAGAATAAAGTCTCGAACTTTGCATTACCCTTAGGTTTTTCTTTTTCAACTGGCACAGAAAACAAGATTCGAACCCCAGCCCAAAGGGTCTGTGACCTAGCCATAAGTTCAAGAAAGGCGACCATGGTTCATCAAATGGAAGTTTTGTATTCAGGATTCTGTTGAAAAACTCTCTTTCTAAAGTCGGTTTATAAGGGTTTTCTTCGACTGTCTAAGTAGATTCACACGACCTGTAAAGAAGTCATAAAGAAAGACACGTTTCTGTTCTAAAAATCTGTCATGTTTACATATGGGAGAAAGAGTCGTTTTTTAATGATTAAAACTGTCCAAACTCTTTTATGATTGTATGATGCATCTTTGAAAAAATTCTCTTGTCTAGAAAAAATATATATATTTTTAGATTTATTTGGGAATTTTATTTGAATATACAGGTTTGGGGGATTAAATATTAAATTAAATGACCCTCTTGGTAATCAAGATTCTTCATTTAACATTCTTTATTTCCATCAATCTTTGTGCTTTGTGTTTTTGATTTGATTCATTCGTTGTCTGTTGTCTTTTGTGGTCTGGGCATCTTATTACTTGATTTCATTACACAAATCAAGATCATTATATAATGCTTTCTCTTTCTTGTTTCTGTCACATTTCAATCTGTGTTTTTCTGTATCTATCTATAAATATATATATTCAAGTCCCCCAAATAAACAAGTTGTGGGTTGCTGACCTAATGCTACGTTCCAAGTTCCTTAAGTCCGAAAACGCCACACTAAAAGCCATGCGGATTGCCTAGAAATCATACTCTTAAGATTTCGTACATTATTATATAGTATTTTGTAAGAGATTTATAAAAGTTGCAGTAGTATTAGAGAAACTGATAGCTTATTGTATCTAGTACGTGTTCTCTGCCATATGATCTCGCGGCTTTAACAAGTTGGATATGGCATTTAGATTCTCGGGGACAATTGATCGAAGTTGTTAACATGGGACGGGATTACCTTCTCTTTGTGATACTTGTTGAAACAATCGGTTTTCTTGATGATTACTGTTCTCTTGTGTATATATGCAGTACCTCGATGAAAACAAGTCTTTGATCCTGAAGATTGTTGAGAGCCAAAACTCAGGGAAAATGGCTGAATGTGCAGAGTATTTACATTTCTTCCCCTTTTAATTTCCTTCGATATGTTTATTTGCCAATTCACTACTTTTTTTGCATAGTGTTATGGTTAAAATTTTGACAACAGAATGCTTAAGTTAAGTGTATCCTTTGACATGTTAGATTTCTGGGTAGAAAGGCTTGTGTGGGACGGACCTGGAGGTCGTACTGATTATGGTGCCAATAAGTTTTCAATTGTTCTCTTGTTTGATCTCAAAGTTGATTTGTAGTTTGTTGTGGATGAACTTCAGTGACTTGAAACTTTCATTGGCCGATCATAACCACAAAATTGAAGAGGCGATTAGATATTTAGTGAAACATGTACACTCGCGCGTATTTCTGTTGAATTTCTATTTAACCCACTCGGATTTTCCATTTTAGAAACTATAATTCATGGAGAGGACTATGAGATCTTACCCTTTGTTTCATATGAATATATTATAAGACATCGCGGTCGGACAACATTCTTTGCACACAATATATTGATTTACCGTCTATTACTCACTCAGTAGCTTGAAATGGTTTCATAATTGCAGACATCAGGCCAAGCTTCAGAGAAACCTTATGTACCTTGCTGCCATTGCTGATTCTCAACCTCAAGCACCTGCTCTTCATTCTCAGGTAAACAAGATCTTGACTTTTGAGATCAAATATTTTACATTCCCAAGAAAAACGATCAAGTGATAATGATGGAGTTAAATTTGAGATCTCTGTTTGATCTCAAAAGTCAAAAGCCGAAGGATTAACAGTTGTTAGTGTTATGATTCAGTATCCTCAAGGCGGGATGATGCAGCAGCCAGGAGGTCACTACATGCAGCAGCACCAGCACCAGCACCAACACCAACAAGTTCAACAGATGTCACCACAAGCGCTCATGGCTGCACGTTCCTCGATGCTGTACAGCCAACAGCAGTACTCATCGCTACAGCAGCAGCAGGCCTTGCATAGCCAGCTCGGAATGAACTCCGGCGGTGGAACCAGCGGACTTCACATGCTGCAGAGCGACAATAACAACGCTGCTGCTGTTGGTGGCACCCACCTTGGAGGTGGGTTTCCTGACTTTGGTCGTAAGCAAGATATCGGGGTTTCTGGTCCCACCAACGAGGGGCGAGGAGGAGGTAGCTCCAGTGGTGGGGATGGTGGCGAGACCCTTTACCTGAAATCTCCCGACAAAGGTAACTGATAGTCGGTAGTCCTCTTGTGTTAGGCAATGCTTTAGTTGCATCGATCTTATGAACTTTATGGTAGCTTCGTAGTTTTGAACGTTTGTTGAAGTAGGTAACGAAGAACAGACGTTGGGAAAAAAGTGGTTAATGCTTATATATTTGAATATTCGTTGTTGGGTCGACTTCGAAACTCTGAGCTTCGTGTGTTATCTTCCAATGAATCATACGATGTTCTATGTTGTAAATTCGTAGGTTGTTTTGTTCGTGATTTCTTAAAAATCTTTGTTTACAGTTGATCTTTGTTTCCAATTAATGGTCATAAGGATAGGCACCTGGACAGGGCTGGATTGGTCCCTGCCTGCTTCGGACCAGACCCAGACAAGTAAGGCTAGGTCAAGCCTGGTTAGGACCAGTATGAGCTACATATCTGAGGGTCCAGTCTCTGCCATCTTTGTGGGTGTTAGAATTCTGGGTCTGTGATGAATCAAACTTGGATCGTGTAAAAGTACTTTCCAATAGTAGTATTTTGACCAAATTTATTTTGTTATAATCCAAAATGCAATTTAGTTTTTAGGCAAACTGGGAGCAAAAACTCGAGATTGTTGTGTTTGTATGTAAGGATCGAGATTGAAAATTTATTTTAAAGGCAAGTAGTTTGACAGTTTTTGATACATACCGTGTAGGTTTTGAAGCTTCTGACCACTACACCTCTTGACCCCGACATTCAATTAACTTATACAAAAGTGCTCTCTGCAGCTCTCAATTCATATCGCAACTTAACTATAACCCCTTAATGGCCAATGATTACTAAATTAAACAGTGGTCTCATGTTAGACATAGTGAAGCGAATGCAGAGAATATTTGAACTTCAACTAAGAAAGAAACCGAATACTTTTCGATTACATAATAACGATAGCTGAGAGTTTAGAAGCTCAAATCTCCTAAACCCGTCAATTGGCACAAACCATTGAACAGTTGGCTTTGCATTATTGCATACATGTTGTGCCGATACGATCAGCGATCTCATCCCACGAGCGACTATCGATTTCGATTCCACTCTGCAAGCTCTTCCCATGAGTAACTATCGATTCCGACTTGCGGACTCGCATGCGAATGTCCATAACTGTAGGTATTTGCTCCCGTGGCGGCACTGGCAGCTGCAGCGGTGGTGGCGGCGGCGGTAGCCGGATGAGAATACACTCCAAAGTTAGGAGTTTGGCCGGTCAGATGTTGAACAATTTCTTTAAACTGAGAAGCATCCTTCGCTTCCACCATCACTGGACTGGAAATGTACTTAACCTTGATGGACTTATCGTCGGGTGCTCGTGATGTTGGGTTCTTGCCGCTGGTTTTCCCCATTTTGAAGAAAAAGAACCCGATGGCGTGTGGTGTGGTAAAATGGTTATGGATGGTTAGGGCATATAAATAGTTGTGAATTTGTAATCGCAAAATGCATAAGAAGTCGTTATAAACATAAGAGTTGGGGGTTTCTTAAAAACGGACGCTTGTGTTTCTTGTGTGGAAATTAACGGTGTACAAGATTTAATGCGGAAGGTACAAGTGAATTATTTGGAATTATGAATCTTCTGGGAAGGATTTTTAAGAAAAAAACAAAGTGAAATTTAGTTGGTAGTTGACAAAGACAGAAGAGGGTTCCTGGATGGAACTAGAAAATTGAGTGTTATATAAGTAAAAGAAAATACCAAAGACCTTTGGGATTACGGTCCCAATCATGTCTATCTAAGAACCCTTGAGGAAGGTGGCTAAATCTTATCTTTGTATCTATGCTTTCTTATTTAGTTTTTTTTTTTTCTTCCTAAAAATCAACTGATTTACGTATTTGGTTTTGTCTGTAAACTTCAGTTGAGTTAGAACGATAAAATCGAAATCAAGAATATATGTTACACAAGTAGTTTGTATCTTCTAATGTTACATATTATCGAAATGAGGTCATGGTTTGGTATGTTAATGAATCCGTTAAGAGTTGTCTAGAAAGTGAATTGAAAGAATGATTAAGAAGAAAATGTTGGTATGATTGTGTCACCATTTCTTTTTAATTTAAAATTTCTTTCGTGGTTAAAAAATCGTTTTCACATTCATATAAATCAACGTGGAGTTTTTGTATATTCTTTTTATTTTTACATTTGCAACGAACCACCATTTAACCTGGTTCATTTAGTAAATCATGACTATATATATATATATATATATATATATATATATATATATATATAAATTAATCTGTTCTCATGCAATAGGCAGGAATTTTTGATAATATCGAGCTGAAACAACCTGTTCTTTTTGAATACCTGATTTAAGGCCAAAGAATTTCCTGCGGCTACCATATAGTATTCATCTCTAACCGGTGATAAATAAAGCATCCGGGACCCTTTTGATCTTTCATAAATTTTATAAAACGGACTTTCTAGAGACCCCAACGACCAATCCTCGAATGAATTGCTAAGGATCCAATAAGTCCAACATATTCCTTTAGATGTGTCAATTATGACTATAAATAAAGAAATATAATGATGATATGATATATAAAATTTAGTAAATATCACTCATCAATATCTAAAATATTAATTATGAGTTAAATGCAAACTTGGTCTATGTAGTTTGTACAAATTAACGAGTAAGGTCTATGGAAAGACTTATTAACGAGGGATGTCTTTGTTTTTGTATTTTTATTTTTAAACATAACTTTGATAAATGTTTTATATTTTAAATAGTTGAAAATTAAAGAAAAAATCTAAAACTAAATACCCGGACAATATATTAAATAATAAGATATGAAAGTATAAGTTTAAATAATTTACTAAAACTAATTTATATACAAAAAATAATTCTATTTACATAAGATATAAAAATATAAATTTAGCTAATTTATTTATAAACATGATCCCCCAACTTTAATTTATAGGATTTGACATCTTCCTTTAGTCAATAAGATTTGATGGTACAAACATATGTATGTTAAAATATAATGAGCAAAATAATTAAATAAAATTCAAAACTTAGATTTTGTCATGAAATGTTTTATCTTTTCAAAAACATTAGTTTCATTAAATCGTTTAGCATAAATAAAACATAATATATTAATCTTGATAAATGTTTTATATTTTAATTAGTTGAAAATTTAAAAAAGATTAAAGCTAAATACCAGATGATATATTAAATAATAAGATATAAAAACATAAATTTAATAATTTACTAAAACTAATTATTGACTTTTTTAATAGACAATTTAATATATATATATATATATATATATATATATATATTGTTAGAGATGCTTTAATTTACTCATCACACACTCAATATCAAGACATAGGGACCATTTATGCTTACTAAGTCATTTATCTTATCTGATGAATATGATGATGATCGAAAACCTTACCTAGTAAAAACGATGCCAAGAAATCGAAAGTCTTTCCGGGTAAGTGAGGGTGATGATTCTTACCCGGCATTGCTTATCGAGTAAATTGTTATATACAATATTGTTGTTATGGACTATAATTCTATCCGGTAAGATAAGTGATAATGTTGAATAATGCTTACCCGGTAAACGTTTGGATAAATGGCCACTTAAATTTAACAGTTCTAACACATGATCTAACTTGATTCTAATATAAATAAAGATGCATATAATAAAACATTTTAGCATTTTTGTTTCATCTAACCGACTTAAAAAATACCATACAAACAGCCTATTTAATATTGTTTTAGTCAAATAATAGAGGAAGTTCAAATACAAACACTTTGGTCATATAAATTATAAAAACACAAATATTTTCAATTATCAAATAATACATGGTCAAATTCAATCATGCGGACTTGAAGTGATTAATCGTGGATGAAATACTCCCATAATTCAGTCATGAGTGGAACTTTCTAAGATTAGAAAAGTATGTATTGCCGATCACGTGTTTTAATATATTCTAAGAATTATAACCATATGTTTGATTTGATTTATGAATATAGTCTTTTACTTATTTCGTTTATATAAGACATTAAAAATAGTGTAATTAATTTCTTTTTATTTCTATATTAATTTATCTTAAAGTAAATGTAGATTTTCAAAATTAAGCATATATTTTCTTTTCTTTTTTCTTTTTTTCATTAACTTAGATATCTAACTCGCTATGCGAACCGACTAATCCCAGGGCGACCACCTGCTTTGCAGATAGTCCGAAGTCACCGCATTTTAACCTTTGTGGCCACAAGGGGATTTTTATTCCTCATTGGATTTGAATCTGGGATCTTCAGGTACTTTTAACCTTTAGAGTCAAGCTTAAACCAATCAGGCACCACCGTTGTGGTTTATTTTTTTATTTTATCATTGACTATGAAAGAAAAAGGATTCTTTTTATTATTAAAGATAAATTCAAATAATTATATATTTCTAAAATCTGTTTTTTTAAATATTTATTTTGAAATCATGGAATATAATACTATGAAAAATAATTTTATTATTGATAATTTCCTTTTTAATTTATAATATAAAAGAGTATAATTGGTTTTTAGGGCCATTCATGTGAAGGGGCGACGGGTACAAACCCAAGGGCCCACAAAAATTGGGGGTAAACACTTTTTTTACTATAAAGCATTTTTAATATATAGTAAATAAAGACGACTGGATTTTTTATATATAACATGAGCGAATTTGGTTAGGGATGGCAAAAAAATCCAAAACTGATGATGAAAATCGAAAATTGAAATTTTCGAGCAGGGTTTAGGGACATCTTATTGGGGACGGGGCGAGGATCGGGGACAAATTTGGGGATTTTAACGGGGACGGTGATCAGCGGCCCGGCTCGATATGTATATATATAATATCATTAAAAAAAAATAGTAACATTAAAATTTAAAAGACTTTTATCCACTTTATCTAAACAACCCAAATAAAACTCACGAAAAAATCTAGTTTATTTGTCTAAAATCGTGATTTTAGTTGTATGATGTTTGAATTTATGTTTAGTTATATATTATAATCTAATATATTGTTTGTAATTGGTTCGGTTATGTTTGAGACATTTAAACTTACATTTTTAAAAAAATTGTAATTTACTTTTAATTGTGAAAATTATCATATTGTAATTGTTTTCCAGATCGGTTTCGGGTTCGGTTATAACCAACAGTGAAAACGAGAATTTTTACTCTTAACGGGTTCTCCAACGGAGATCGGGGAAACTGCGGGGACCCGATAAGATCCCCGACGGGGATCGGGGTGGTTACAAAGACGGGGATACCAATACCCG